CTATGCGAAACCATCACCATCTTTTGTTTTGGAAGGATACCTCTGATAATGAAGGATACCATCGTTAGATAATGAATACAAACAAAACCCTGCAAGGAGTTCAAGTTGTTAGATAATGAAAGCAAACAAGACACACAAGTAGCCTTAGGTTCAGGCTTGCATGGAATTTACAGATAAGTACCCTCTTGAAGTTTTAGTTGGCTCAACCTGTCATAAAAGAAGTAACCGGGTTCTAAAGAATCTCAATATCACCGATCTTTCTTCACCGGGCATTGTTTCAGCTCAAGTGATCTTTTCTCGCGGCTGAAATATCCCGAAAGTCCGATCTTAATGAGGGTAGTATCGAGTATCAACCAATCTTAGGTCGGAACCAAAGTCGGCTATCTCACTACTTTCTAATGGCTAGGATGAGTCAACTAAAGGTTCTAAAGGCCAGATAGCGCTTAATGACACTATAAGAAAGCCTAATGTTATCCTCGACTGACTCAAGGAACATTAGTATAAGCCAGAGTGTCACGCTAACATAGCCATCACTTCGTCTATATCGGTCTACACCGTACAACCTCCATGATTTATTGTTACTTACCTAAAAAGGTGCCCTAGATCCGGGTATAGGATCTCTAATAATAACCCAAGCAAACCCTTAAAAATAAAGCAGGCAAAGAAAACAAGGAAATCAATTTAAAATGATATAACTCTAAGGTAACTCCACTTTTTATATGTCCCCAGCAGAGCCGCCAGTTCTGTAATACGGTGGGAGAATTGACTTTATACTGATTTTTCATTTTTTATTCGCAAATGTTGCGGTAAGCAAGAGTCGCCACAAAATTTTCTTTTATCCAACAAAGGAAAGGGTGAAAAGAACAGAAAAAGACCTTTCGAGATTATTTCTGAGTAAGAGGGGTATATTATGGAAAAGGAAGGTGTTAACACCCTTTCCATCCGTAGTTATCTACGGGCTCTTAGATGCTAGCTCATTTGAAAATACCTTGTGTTTGTATGTTTGAAAAATTATCTTGAAACGACGCGTTAGTGCGACGAACTTTGTAATGTTTCTCGTGTCGTGGATAACATATACAAAGTGTCTTTGAAAATATTTTTTTTAGAAAAGAGTGTATGTGTGGAAAATGGTTTTATTTGAGCAAGCATCTAAGAACTATCTACCCACTCGAAAAGGTTTGTTCTTTTCCTCTTTTTCTTTAGACAATGCTATCCTACTATTAGTGAGTAGGTAGCCATATCACTGGATGTTTGAGGGACAATCGAGGGTCATCGTACGATCATAAAGGTAACTAGTAAGATATCTTAATAATTAACCTAAAGTTTTAAGATCATTCTACTGAGGCAACGTCGAAAGGGTCATCGAGGGACTTATGATCTTTTTAAACCAAATGGTAGCCACTAAAATCTTTTACATTCGAGAATCGTGACCGTTTTATTCTGAAGGCAACCGAAGTGGGAGTATCCTAGAGGTGCACATGTGCGAGTGTGTTGTATTCAATTATTTTTCTTTGATGTTAGATTTGCTAACGTTTTTGTTTTTAATTTCTGTCATGCAATCCTATTAGGCATACATCTAACAGTTAATATATGTACAGGAAAATAAAATGTGGAAATTTAAAGACCTACAACTATTACATCTCATAAGCAGTTACATAATAGAAAAATACAAGGAAATGTAAACTACGACTATTACAAAATTATCTGTGCGACCTATACATTTATTTTCTAGAATTTAAATAGCGAAAGAATAAATAAAAAGAAATTAAAGGACAAAATAAAAGAACTAAAATCTTAAGCAAGAAAATGTTTTTGATTTTTTTTTATGAGAAAAAATAATTTTGTGCTAATAATAATTGGAATTTGATTTATGAAAATAAATTAATTATAAAATCCTAATTCTAATTAATTAATTAATTAAAAAATTTATTAAAAATAATTAATTAAAATTAATCTTAACAAAATAAAACAAAGAAACTAATTCTAATATTTTTGTGGTTTTGATTTTAATGATGTTTTTATGATTTTTTTTAATAAAAGGAAATTAATTGAAAAAGAAAAATACAAATTAAACAAAACAAAAAAAAATAGAAAAAGAAAAGATGAGCTTGCTATAAGAAAACTGGGGGTGAGAATCTGAAATTTGCTAAGCCCAACTTGGTTGGACCCAACAACTGCGTATGATTTGGTGTGCATAGCCCTTGAGGTTCCATGGTAGGAGCGCATCCTTGTGAAGCTAGATCTGAAACTCAAAAGTTCTTGAGCCCTAATAATGACATCATGCAATATAAACACTTAAACTCACGTGTGATACATTAGATCAATTCCAAACATTGATAACAACATGAATGTATGCTTAAAATTAATTTAAATCGTATAATGAAAGAGTTTAGGATCCAGAATTTTTACCAAAAACCGGTGGGCTTGGTGTGGTTGTTCTGGCGTGTTTGAGAGTGAGTTACGAATATGTATGGCCTCCTGAAACCTTTAGGAAGATGGTACGAGGCTTGAAATTTCTCGAATATGGCCGGAAATTACTATACGAAATTGCAAATTTCTTTGAAAAATGTGAAGAATTCGGGCAAGCTTTTGGAGAGCTTTTTGAAGAGGAATTTCGTGCTCTATGCTTATGCTTTTTCTTTGTATTTATAGAGGGATGAAATGGTGAGTAAACATGACAAGAATTCACACATAATGATCCCCTTTCAAATCAATATCAAACATATTAAAATATTTCCAAAATTGTGAAAAACTTGCCCTTCTTGAGATGCAATGAACCTGGCCTCTTTCCTCATGTCTTGCACGAATTCTAAGATCCAATATCAACCCAAATCATCAGCCCATGTGTCCATATTTTTTATTTATTATTTAATGTAATTTATTTTGTGTTTATTTAAATAAAAACAAAATAAATATGAATAAAATAGAGAAAAAATGAAAATCAAGGTGAGAGTGAATTTAGGGATCTTTGAGTAAGTCATAAGCATATCTGAATCCCACAAAATAGGTCTATAAACTTAAAAATGCATTTTTGCTCAAAGTTGACTTTTTTGCATTTTCACCAATTTACCCAATTTGTACTGATCATAACTTTCTCAATTTTTATCTTTTGAAGATGATATTGAACTTTTTGGAAAGCCCAAGACATCCTCTACAATCTCTATGTTTACCATTTTTGCATTTGGTGAATTTATCTTGATGTAACTTGCCTTGACAAAAATGACTTTTTATTGACTTTCAAAAAGACTTGTAATGTATTGACATATCTTTCCAATGATGCATTTTTGAACTCGAGGAAAAAAGAAAAGTTATAGGGAATTAAATTTTCTTCACAATGAGCTTCGGTTGGGGCAAAATGGATGAAACATGTGAAAGTTATGCATGGTCAAAGTTCAGTTGACTTTTCCTATAGAAACCCTAATTTGGCAATTTTAAATTCTTGATGATTAAGAGCATTCCTTGAGGAATCATGATCAATGCTTGATCAAATGATGAATATCACTTAAAAATGTTGAGGTTGATCAAAAATATTGAAGTTCGACTGTATATTGACCATAATTGACTTTTTGATCAATATAGTTGATTTTCAAACACATGAGTCATTAATTGAACAAACTTGTGATGCAAGGCATGAAACTTGGCATGGACATTCTTGAGGACATATTAGGAACCATGGAAATCACTTGAGGCCTTTGAAACCCAAACTTCTTTGTGAAAAGTGAAACCCTAGTTTGAAGTCCATTGCTTAGGAGGATAATTTGTCTGGCCAATACTTGGCCAACTTTAAGCACTTGAGGACCTCTATGAACATGTCTTGAATAAAATGAGAGGGTAAATTTTGGGGTACAACAACGGCCTTTATACGAATTCATTGTAGCATGTCATCACGAAATTCATACTCTTGTTCATTTTTAAAATGGTTCCAAATATCTACCATATTCATTAGGAGAAGTAAAACAACTTGAGACATGATAAGTTTGGGGATAACATCATGATGCACCATACCTAATATAAAAAAATATATAAACTAAGAAACGTCCATAACAAGAATAAAATTACTAGAAAATTAACACATACAAATACTAGAAATGTATATCCAGATGAGTTCATTGCGTTTCCAGAAATATACTTCCGGTATAAACATGATATTTTTTCCTGAAAAATCAGATTAGTGTGATGAATAAGGTTGAAATGAATGAACTTTACCTTAAATTCTACTTTCTTTAACTCCTTTTGATATGACGAAATACAAGAACGAAGATTTGGAGTGAAAAAATTGGTTGAGAATGAAAGAGTTTTTGGAGAGGATTTAAAGAAACTTTTCGAAATAAGGGTGATCATGCTAGTTCATGTTGATTGTTATTTAAAGCAATTTGACTTTTGATTTTTCCCGATATACATTTTCGGAAATATCTAACATGCAAATGTGATATAATTCTCAATTTCCCGCACTAATATACCAGAGACACATATTCGGATATATCCCTGTAATCATTTTGAATGTATTATTTCTATTATATTTTCGAAGATATATCTTCAAATTTTTTTTTTTTAATTTCACAATAGAGTGACACCACATTTGATCGCATTATTTGACATAAACGGTACATTTGAAAATAAAATTCTGATAACCCACGGATACTTTTTTGGATAACCCGTGAATGCTGCATCTGGATATTTTTTAAGATTTTCATATAATTCTTTTCACGGTATAATAAGAAATAGTCCAAATAAAAGACACAAGAATTGTAGCAGTGACTGTGACTAGTGAGTAAAACCTCCAGCCAGAGCCACACTCAACAACCACCTCTCTGATTCAGGGTTCTACAAATACAAATCGCACTCAGAAAACGTTGCCGCACTTAACTTATAATCACTCTCTCACTCACTCTCGTCACCTGCGATTCCATTCCCAATTTCTGCATCATCGACGCTCTTCCATCTCGAAAACAATCTGCAACTAAACCTTCTTCAACCTCGATTAGGTTTTCACGTTCACGATGCAAGGTTTTACTGCAAACACCGATTTCTCCGAGCTTCAATCCACCATGCGAGCAATCGAGTTAGCTAGCGCCTCCATTCAGGTCTTCTTTATCGATTTCATATACACTTTCCGCTTGCATTTTATTTTAAGTGTTGACTAGTCGAACGCGAATTCACGTCTAATCATGTTGTTATTTTCAGATGCAAATTAATCCAGCAGCTTCTGAAGCAATTGTATTGGCATTAGGTCAATCTTCTCAGCCGTACAAGACTTGTCAGTTCATTCTTGGTCAGTCACTTTACAACTATCTTTATGCTTATTGTTTACCGAATCATCGAATTCCAGCTCGAATAGTTTACGGAAGTTTTTATTAGTACAATCTTTATGTACCGACACTGTAAAATAGTTTTACACTCTCATGCAATAGGGATTCATCATTCAGCCATCTCAGGCAACTAACTTAAAAATATTTGCGTGAGTTGGCAGAATAAATGATGATGATTGGTTGACATTGTAAAATTATTTTACTATCGGCGCATATCCTTTTTTTTCTCATAATAATATAGGTATTGTTTGTTACTCGTTAGTTGGATAATGAAAACAGCAAAGTAGAGATTTGAGAACAAATTGAGTGTTGTAGTGCGATATTTGTTGCTGAATAATTTAATTCACTAGTTTGTTTTATTCCCTCATCATTAGCATTATCAGTGATTCTGCAATTTGGTTTCTAAATCTGCTTTTCATTAGTGTTGAGTGGGTTTGATGATGTGTTAGTGTCAATGATTCGTGCTTCAAATGTTGATAAATAACGGTTACAGCGGCGGTATAACACTATAGTGTTGCGGAATTTGGACAAACCGCTATTGTTCTGTGATACACCGTTTGTCGGTCATAAGCTGCTATAGTGTAGCAGAGATTGGACATGCTGCTACTGTTCCGCGATACGCCATTTAGTACAAAATGTTGTCATAAGTCTCTATAGCGGCGCTATAGTATTATTGGATAGTGGAATTTTAACAATTTGCTGTTTTCGTCTATCCGCAAATGAAAACACTGGCTTCAATGGTGATTAACTATTATACTAGTCTCAAGGTTGGGTCTTTATTGTATATATCAGGCTGTCAGACTTTAATACTGTTTTTAATAAAAATAAGTTGTCTTTTAGTGATATAATTACCTGGAGAACATATCAATTTTACATTTTCTTGAAACATGCTAGAAGAGATATTTTCTTTCTTTTGAACAAAGAAGTTATTGGATATATTGCTGCTTTTCAAGAAAGTGAAGGCATAAATTAATTCCGTGGATCAAACTAGAACTGGATAAAAAACTTGTAACAGTGATGTGACTGTTATGTTTGGATGCGAGGCAGGGAGAAGGAATGTGACATAAAAGGAAAGAGAAAAGCAACTCAAAACATTGTTAATAAGATTTCACATAAAAGGTTTTGCATTTTTAAGCAATTGACCATAGATAATCCTTAATATAAGACACACTGAATGGTAGTACAGCTCCTATAAAAAAAGCAGGTTAGAAGAAATAATAAGGATCTTTGACCTCTATTCGGGTATTGGATTGGCATGTTAATAGAGACCGAGGGTTTATTTCAATGAAAAATCCCGTTCTTTGTTACTTTCTTTTGATCCAGTTCCATTCAGGAGCTCTGTTTGATATCCAATAGATATATAAATTGCGACTGCTGTATTTCAAGGTTTCCTTACTGGCTAGAGTCTTGTTGTATAGGTGCGTGTGCATTTCACACCTATAATTTCTTTAACACTAATTATGATTGTGTAAATTTCATGTGGATCCCACTAAATCACAAAGATTTCATTTTTTATAGTGAGACTCATCTCCAAAGTGGCCGGACCCACTTGAATATCACCCAATCATGGATGGCGTGCTAGAAAGAGTGTGTTACTAGCTTATATTATATAAAATAGACGGCATCTTATCGATTATTTTGTTTTGGAGTACTTTACGTCCGTAATACTAATTCATTATACTTTATTAAGTGGCCTCTTAAAGTTTGTCTGTTATTCTAGTTTACATCATGTTGATTCTGTACTGATTTTGTCTATGCAGAAAACTCCTTGGTGGCAACTGCAAGGTTTCAAGCTGCTGCTGCAATCAGAGAAGCTGCTATTAGAGAATGGGGTTTTCTTAATGCTGATGACAAGAAAAGCTTGATTAGGTTTTTGCTTAAACCTTTCATTCTACAAAGAATGTTACCCTTTTTGATACATACATCTTAAACCTTTTAAATATATATTGCAGTTTTTGTCTATGCTATGCAATGCAACATGCTAGTTCTCCTGATAGCTATGTCCAAGCCAAAGTTTCTTCCGTGGCTGCTCAATTGATGAAAAGGGGTTGGTAAGTAGTGCATTCTGTTAAGTTTCAGTTAAAGAAAATGATCTGAGTATTAACCTACACAGATACATGCTATAGAACAAATGCATACAAGAGGTTAATCCCATCACTTGAATTTGAGTTGTGACCTCTCAGTCATACAGCAGCAGCACCAACCATTGTGCTAAGGCTCTCTTTCTTGAAATTATAAAATTTAATTGCTTTAAGTAAATATCGGTTACTTCTAATAAATTATAAAAATATTGTATCATGAATAAAATAATATGGTTGCCTAATTATATGTCAATCAAATAAAATGCAAACTCTGTTTGCAACAAGTAATCCTGTAACCATAAAATGTGTGTAGAGTAGGCCGATGACATGCAATATTTAAAAATCTCTAAGTGACTTAGAAGTTTAATAGTCTGATCATGTCATCATTCTTTCCCCAACTATTTTGACCTACATTATGTAATTTTTGAGATCACAATGAACAATAATGATTTTAAAGGGAAACAATGAGAATAGTAAAAGAATATAGTTGAGGTCTAACTGGTTCATTCTTAATCTTTTTCTAATTCATCTCAATGAATTTGTGAGTTGTGACCTTGTACAAATCTTTGTACCTATCTCTTTTGTCACTCTTTTAGTTGAGTTCCATGGGAAATATGCTCTGTACAAATATTTGTAGTTGAATTTGTGCAAATTAAACTGGTATTGACTAGTACTGGTGGTTGTACCTAGCAAGAAGCAAGTGGGTAGGTCCATGAAATTCTTTAATGTTTTAAAGAGGAAATATAGTATTTTATTGTCTTGGATATACTTGGCTTAAATTATTTTTTTCCGGTATGAGAAGGTCAACCTAAGAAAGGAAGCTACTTAGCTTTCTCCTAATATGTATAGTGTAGCGTCCTTACTTTATCAACAAACATTGTCTCCCTTGAGATATGTGTGTTATAGGAGAGAGACCTATATATGCAAATACAAATATTACTTCATACAAAAAATAGCACCTCCAGTTAATAATATGGTTGCTGCTTAAAATCAAATGTAGTAGGTACAAGAACCTCCAATTTATAGTATCCTCGTTAGGGATTGACTTTACTAGAGTAACTATGAACAAGTTTCACCTAGTTATATACAAAAAAATTTAAAGATATATCTTGTGTTGGAACTTGGAATTGTTTAATCGAAAACACATAATAGGAAAAGTTCTTTTATTTTTTTTGGCATTTATTACAGCAGATGTTTTTTTTTTCCCAAGGAGGGAAAGATTGTTGTGTTGTTGCAAATCAATATTAGCTAAAATTGGAGGTTGTGAAATCATCTCTTATAGTTGGTTTTCCAAAACTTTCTATATGCAGGCTTGAGGAAGTAGCTGCAGAGAAAGAGACACTCTTTTATCAGGTGACCACATATTCTGTCTTTAGTTTCTTTCGGCTATTTGCTCCTTTTACACATATTCTTTCTTCTCCCCCCTTTATTCATCTTTCTGGACTCAAAATGAGGAATACTTTCATAATGCTAATTGTATGCATGAAATGTATCAGTGGGCTGTCCAAATCCCCCAGAATTGATTACATTGATGACTGAACAACTGGAGTAAATTTAAGTGGGTAGGTTGGGTATTTTCTTTGAACATTAGCTATTTGCAGGCTGGTTGGTTATGGGATTTGAATATATGAAATCTATTATTATGTGCACTACTTAATTATTTAACAATTTACAGTTAAAATATTTAAGAATTCATTAAGACATAATCTTTTCTTTCTAATAGACAAGTCAAAGATTACCTTATCTATTGCCTTACTTAATTCCATTGCCCAACTTCTAAAGTCTTCCCCAAATTCTAGAGGGAGAGTTACAGTTTAAATTATAGAGAGCATATTTTCATTTAAAAACAATTACTCAAAAGAGTGGTTGACAATTTTCAAAGACGGTTGATGATATATTCAGATAACTTTCCATTCTGGTGGTTAATATATACTGAAATATGAATATATTCACCAGTATATCCCAATTAATATTCTCCCTATTTTAAGAATTCAAGGCTTTTCTTGTTTGTTTTGTCTTGTTCTTCTTCATTGTAACACAAGTTTTGTTAGGATGTCCACATTCAATTGCTCTGAAATGCCTGCCTTTCATGGATCTCAATAAAGTCTATGATTGGTCGGACTTCGGAGAACTTCTTGAGATTCAGGCGATTGCCAATGATATAACTAGTAAATATGTTCCTCCTCATTTTGTTCCTTTCATTTAGACTTTTTTTTTGTTATTTGAATTTGATATAGGGTATTATATAAATCTTGATATCAATTATTCCATTTTGTTTACTCTTGTTGTGACTTGTAATTCCTTACCTTGGGACCAAACTGGTGTTATTGGGCAGTTAAAACTTTAGCAGGTGTACTCAAAGCTATTCATGTAACAGGACCATCCTTGACATTTTCACATGTATTGCAGGTGAACCAGGCTATTTTGGGCATTCATGGAGTAGATGTGCAGTTTGCTGGAATCAAATTCCTTGAATCGTTGGTATGTAATACTTCATTTTATTTTATAGAAATTCCTCCATTTCCTTTTATTCCACAACTTTATTTATTTGCTAAATATCTATAGGTATCTGAATTTTCTCCTTCTACTTCAAGTGCTATGGGCCTTCCAAGGGAATTTCATGAGCAGTGTAGGAGATCACTTGAGCGAGACTACCTGAAGGTCTTACCATTTAGAATATTCATTCCGCATTACAGTTTACACTTTTGCTCTTAGGTTAATTGAAGTTTTATTATTTAGATATTCTTTCTACATTACAGTTTACACTTTTGTTCTTAAGTTAATTAAATTTTATTATTAGGGTTAATAGTCATCTACCCCTGCAATATAGGCGAGTTTTGATTTACCCCCCTTTAAATTTTTTTTTTTGATACATCATTTGAAATGTTAAAATTCTAAGTCTTTTGCCCCCTAGGTGCAAATATTACCCCCTCTAATTTTTTTTTGATTTACCCCCCTCATTTTTACACGCTTAGGGGGTACCCTAAAAATTCCAGGGGGTAATCAATTTTTTTTATTTTTAAAGGGGGGTAATTCAAAATTCGCCTATATTGCAGGGGGTAAATGACTATTAACCCTTATTATTATAAGTGACAGTTATTGACGCATGTTAAGTTGATTGTTGGATTAATATTAATTTGTTTTTCTCTTTCTTCTTTGTATTATTATTACCTATATTTAGACATTTTACCAATGGACCCAAGAAGCTGCTTCCAGTGTCACAAATAGGATTATTGAATCTGAGTCTGTTGTACCTGAGGTTAAAGTTTGTACCGCTGCGCTGGATCTCATGCTTCAAATCCTGAATTGGGATTTTCGTAGCAATACCAGTGACACAAAAATAAATCTCTTCTCTGCTGGAGTTAGGCAAGATGGGGATTCTCTTAAAAGATCTGACTGTCACCTAGTTCAGGTAATCACTTGGTTTGCTTGTTAACAGTTGTCATACATTAGGCAAACATAATAATTACACCTTAGGCAAAACATCAGAATTACATTACAGTCATTACTATAAATTCATGTTATGAGTCTCCCACTGATGGCTCAAGATTCTGTTCTTGATGCTTACATGCAGCCTGGTTCCGATTGGCGTGATGTGTTGATATTGAGTGGTCATATTGGATGGATTTTGAGTTTATATGCTGCATTGAGGCCGAAGTTTTCATGTGAAGGCTACTGGCTTGACTGCGCCATTGCTGTTTCTACTCGAAAGCTAATTGTACAATTATGTTCTCTGACAGGAACTGTATTTCCTTCTGGTATGACTGTTTGCTTCTCTATCTTTATGCTGACTGTATGTGTATTTTTCTTAGAACTAGGATCTTCAAGTTGATAAATATTGTCTGTCTTTCTGGTGAGAGACGGTTATTTTGATGGATGGATTTTATAGAGGTGCTCAGTTGTTTTACTGATAGAAAGATCATCATTGATAAAATGTTGAATTAAACTTCTTAAGGTGTGGGCTGTCCACCACTTATAGACATATTTTTAGTGCATATTTCATTCGAGGCGAGACTCCTAACACAGCCTCCTCACACCCAGGACTGAACATCAAGAGCGTGACCCGAGTGGCCCGATAGCGAGTAACCAATGGATCTTAGATATGCTCTGTTATCATCTTAAACTTTGGATTGGGCCTAATTCAAACCTTACAAAAACGACTTATAAGGCGAGGACTGTCCGCCACTTATCAACATATTTTTAGGGCATATCTCATCAAATGCGAGATTCTTAGCAAATTAATTGGCATATAAACAAAATTTATTCTTTCTATGAGATATTTTGAAAGAATGGGATGAGACTGGAGATATCAGTCTATCCATCTAGAAGTAGATAATGCTTCAACTGTATGAATACCCGTGTCTACATTTTCACTTCTTAACTAGATAACTAATTATTGCTAAAAGGACCATTGATAAGTTAGGGGATTCACTTTCCTGTATCAGTATCCACCCCAAAAGAAAATCTTTTTAACTTGTGAAGATCTTTGATTTGAATTTCTGATTATTTTCTACCGTGTTTTAGATGATGGGAAAATGCATGAGAGGCATCTCCTGCAACTCCTCTCTGGGATACTCGAGTGGGTAGACCCTCCTGATGCTGTTTCAAAAGCTATTGAAAATGGGAAAAGTGATAGGTTTGGCTAATATTCATTTATATAATGCACCCTGCAAATGACCCACATACTTGTGCACACACTGCAAATGACCCACATACTTGTACACACACACCTGTCTCTACACAGTTCCATTTACATTTAACTCTCAAATTGGTTCTGGTTTCTTTCAGTGAGATGATTGATGGTTGTCGTGCATTGTTGGCTATTGCAAATGTAACAACTCCTTACGTGTTTGACAATCTCCTAAAATCTATAAGGTATTTCAATTGTCTTTTTGATTTTTTTTTAGGTATTTCTCTGTTTATCATAATGATAGTTGAAATGAGTACACATTTTTGTTGATGCTCCAGGGCCATCGGTACTTTTACGTTTTTGTCAATGTGGATGTCTGAAGTAATTAAAGTCCTCATAACTAGCAATACTGAAGAGGAGACTTGGAGCTGGGAAGCCCGTGATATCTTACTGGATACTTGGACCGCCCTTCTAATGGTTATTAATTCAAATATAATTATAAGATGTTACTTGTTTTTCTTCTGATTCTGGTAGAATTTGTCCTATCTGAAAAAATTTGCCAGCTACAATTTGTTGTTTTTGTCTAATTAGTGACAGTGCGAGTGTAGCAGTTGTTAATTTATTTGAACTTTAGGAAGTTTCTGTTGCTAACTATTGATATTAAAAAAGGCGGCCCAGTGCTAGAGACTCGCACTATGTGGTGGGGTCTGGGGAAGGGTAGATGCACACAGCCTTACTCCTGTAAGTGAAGAGGCTATTGTCAAATATAGCTTTCAAGTTATGTGAATCTAGAGGGATCCAAGGAAGCTGTTGGACATTCCGTCTTCATTGGGTTGGCCCCTAGTCGTCTAATTGTGGCATTTGGCTTGCCTTCATTGCAACCTCCAACACCTTCATTGTGTTGGGTTTGAAAGGGTGAATTTAGTCCCACATTGCTTAGAGATGTGACCTGTGTAGTGTTTATAAAGCTTGGGCAGCCCTCACCTTACAAGCCTATGTTGTATGGAGGAGTTAGGCCGGACCCAAATTCTAAGAGAAGCACATACTGTTACATTTATTGAATATATCAGTTGTTTAATTTGGAATTAGAATTTCTTCAATTAAGTCAAAATATGGAGTTTGTTAAAATTTGGTCATTAAGCTGAATGGTTAATATTGTTCTTCTTCAGCCAATAAATACTACCACTGTAAATACTTTGCTTCCACCAGAAGGAATAAAAGCTGCTGCAAATCTCTTTGGTTTCATCGTAGAATGCGAGCTAAGAAGTAAAACCTATATGAAGTTTTCTATATTGCTTTTTAAATTTTTTTTTTTTTTTGTAATACTTTTCCTCACATAAGCTTTCTTTCATTTAGTGGCCTCTGCATCAGCATTTAATGATGAGGGTGATTCAGATTATCTTCGTGCTTCTGTATCTGGTATGAAAATTTGACAGATTTATAAATTGCATGCACCATAATTTAGTTGTCATTTTTTGTTATGGTCAATATTGACTTTCCTGTTGCTAGACTTTGTTTAAGCGGTTGTACTGAAAATAATACCAACAACATCACAAAGCAGTCAGAGACAGCAGACTGAGTCCAATTTTTATTGGGCTAAGGCTTGTTGAGAACTCAAATTCGTGCTGAAATCAACAGATTTTGCCTTGAAAGTGGTTTACTGTTTTTTGCTAATACCTATGAAAGTAAATTTAAAGTTATGATGTGCTTAAATTACTCAGTCGCTGAACTCCTTCAGCCGCAACTCCTTCCTTATTTATATTATTTACCATAGTTTCCTACAGTACAATACAATCTCATTTATTTAATGAGTAAACTGTCATTTCGATCTTTGAATGTGTCAAATTGTGTCTTATAGTCCTTGAATGTATCAAAATTACAAAAGTATCACTTGATGTGTCTTTCTTAAGTCAGTTTGGTCCCTGAATGTGTATTATGTTAGTCAGATTAGTCCATAAAGTTACTAACAAAAGACACACCCAAGGATGTTATTGCAATTTCAATAAGTTCAGGGGCTATAATGATACATCATCACACATTTAGGGACCAAAGCGATTTACTTTTATTTAATTAAATGCCTATAATTTCCTTTAAAGCACATTCAGTTCTTGGTTGAAAATCTCTTCTAATGTACCAAGAGTCCCACATCGGATAATATATGGCCTGAACATATGCTTAGAAGTGGGGGCGATCCTCACCTTACAAGTCGGTTTCATAAGGATGAGTTAGACCCAACCACAATTCTAAGAGTTACATTCTAGGCACTAGATTTTTCATTGCTAAAATATTACTACATTTTGGTATTAAACTATACATCATTTTGGAGCCTGATGAGTTTCTTTTGTTCATTTTTATTGACAACAATTGATATTTTCTTTGCAGCCATGGATGAAAGGTTAAGTTCATATGCACTTATTGCAAGAGCTTCTATTGATGTTACAATCCCTTTGCTCACAAGTGTGTTTTCTGAGCGGGTCACCCGCCTTAATCAGGTATGTTTCATATTGAGTTATAGAGGATAACTTTCTTGGATGAAAATTTCAAATCTGTCATCTACAATTATGCTTGTCTCGCTCCTTCCCTTTTCCTAAAGATTCGTAATTTTCAGACCAAAAGTTTGAGATTAGCAATTGTTTGGACTGCAATAATTGGTATCGGTAATTATTTGAACTGCAAAGTTGTAGTTAGTAATTGCTCAGATTGCAAGATCGAGATATTGGTTGTGGAGTGGAAAGAAGCAAGATTTGGAGGTAGGGACTTTAGGATCGGGGAGGAGGTAATTAACACCAGTTTTCAGGAGGTAGGTAAAGAAGGTTGCTTGACAGGGGTCTATGGAAGGCAGCTTGACTGCATTCCATATATTGATACAAGGAATCCTCAAAAATAATTAAGCAAGAAGCTCTCAACCCAGAAACCTTACTGTATTCCATTTTCATTCCAAGCACAATCGGGACTGGTCTCCAGCTCTTTACTTTTAGATCCTCTCCTACTCCACTGCCACATAAAATCGACGCAATATCCCATTGAACTCTAAGTATTCTTAGGAATCTAGTGACTAGATTCTAAATTTCTAATTAGCAAGTAACTAACTAACTACAACCATATTCCTTGCCATAGATTGTTGCTGTTAGAATGTATATCATATACTTTTACCATCTACTTGCTCACAAAAGATAAATCAATCTTTCTAGAATGCCCTGCCTTATAGCTGCTCTTACAAGGAAAAGGTGCCAGCTTTAATCATCAAGCAGGCATTTTAATTCAACTTTTAACATACTGTCCACTGCCCATGTATTGCAAACATAGAGCCGGGTGTACAAAATCAAAGAATAGTGCTTGGTTACCTACCTATCTTGTGGTTGGACATCATCTCACACGTCCTAGGTAGCGAAGTCTGAGTATAGTAGGTATGTAAAAAATGAGATTCAACCAACTGTAATTAGATGGTGGAAGCTGGTGATGCACATGTAGTGTAGGTGCATGAGTGTAGCACCATTCAAAACATAATTACTTTTTTTAGTTGTGATCAAGTGGGAAACCGATAGAAAGGCAGTAGCTTTTGATGAGTTAAAGTTTGAGCATAATGCTTTATTCACTACTGAATCCAAAAAAGTCCCTTTTACATCAACCAAATTAAACCAGTTAGGTGTCTAAATCTATATTTAGTATATTCTAAGATAATTTATCCTTAAACTAAGTTCAGCATGCTTGAGAATTTTTCGTCACGGGCTACAATTTGTCTCATGATTATAGAAATTGAAACACTCAAAAAGTGAAGTTCTATGAGAGCTTACACGCAAACAAACACAAATTTATGCTTCTCTTTCTTTTTTGAGCAATATTTAAGTTGCTGTGCCTTTACATTTATCCTCAATATACCATATCTATATTTTGATATGCTAATTTCTAAAAATAGTTTTGTAGATCCAGATAATGCAAAAATTGAGTTGCTTATATTAGTTCTTTATTAATTAATTTATACCATGAATTTTTGCCGAGTTTTAACCGCACTATTAAAACCATTGAGTCAAACACTAAGCACAACAATAATGTCTCTATCAAATGGTTGTTACTCAAACTTTTCAATTCCACTCAATCTTATGAAATGTCTCATTATCTTTTGTCCATCTGTGTGCTCTTCTATTATCTCATCCGTCCATAATAAACATTCTGTGTTAAATTATCAGAACTATTACAAGCTCAAATTATTCACTTGATTTGTAGGGCAGGGGTGTTATTGACTTGACTGAAACTTTGGAAGAACTTTATTCATTGCTGCTCATAATTGGCCACGTAATTGCAGACGAAGGGGAGGGGGAAATGCCACTGGTATGTGGATGTAGTTTCTCCTTATTCTGTTACTCAGAAATGTTCTTTAGCACTAGAAATTTTCCTTTTCTTTTTGAATGAAAGAAATCTTAATAGAAAGAAAAGATTCCAGGAAAAAAACACAGCTTAAAGGGGGAGGGGGGGCTGATATCCTCATAAACATTTTGTCAGCATGATATATGGAAAACAGAGTATGAATGCAAGGTTTTTTTTTGTTTGATAAACTGGAACTTTTCGATTATTGATGATTCCTTGAATCTTCTGAGTAGAGTAATATTTATAGCTACCGGGGCTACAGACACAATCATGTTTATAGCTACTGAGGCTATAATCAAATTTATAGCTACTGAGACTTGGAATGCAAGATGCTCATCTGGCAGAAATGATAACTTTAACTAACCAAGACTGTTGCTTATGTTAAGGGGTAGTTATACTTATGCCAGCTAAGCTAATTGACTGGAAGCTTCTGGGTCCTATCTCAGTATTTTAGATTGTGTAGAATAGTCCATCATCTTCTATGTTTTCACCTTTAACCCTTATTATTTCTCACACGTTGATGGTTATGTGGTAATGCAAACATTAATCTAAGGCTATGTCATGTGTGATACTTAGGTTCCTAATGCCATACAAACTCAATTTGTTGCTAATTCCGTGGAGGCAGATAAACATCCTGTTATTTTGCTTTCCAGGTAAAGTGCTTTTCTTCTTTTTCCTGAAATTTGTTGTTTGCATTGAGCTTCTGCTAAGATTTGCAGTAAATTATGTTTGTCAACCTTATTCAGATATTAGCACTTTTTTGGTTTGGCTCTGTCAACATTCTTGTTGATATTACTTTTTTGGAGTATTGCTTTATCATCTACTTCTCATCTTACGTTTGATCTTTTTCATTTTTAGTAACTTCTCCCTTTCGGTCCATCTTGCCTTGCAAAACCACAGTAGAATGAGCAGCCCCCATATCTGTTTTTGTAAATTTTACTTTACCTACTCTGATTAACCAGCACATCAGTTAGCGCGTGGTAAAATGACTATACTGTCCCTCTAACAAATCAATGTTCAATGTTATTGAAATTTATGGATAGCCATTCTAGGCCTCCTTCCTTATTGGGTAGTAGGTGTATATCTCAATTTAAAGACATCACATGCATGTGTGATTATGAATGGGGATCAGTTGATATTTGTGCAAGAATTGGAAGATTTGCTTGTCATATCTCTCTCTCTCTCTCTCTCTCTCTCTCTCTCTCTCTCTCTCTCTCTCTCTCTCTCTCTCTCTCTCTCTCACTCTCTCACTCTCTCACTCTCTCACTCTCTCTCTCTCACTCTCTCTCTCTCTCTCTCTCTCTCTCTCTCTCTCTCTCTCTCTCTCTCTCTCTCTCACACACACACACACACACACACACACTCACACACACACACACACACACACACACTCACACTCACACTCACACTCACACTCACACTCACACTCACACTCACTCTCTCTCTCTCTCTCTCTCTCTCTCTCTCTCTCTCACTCTCTCACTCTCTCACTCTCACAAAAGCTACAACTGAAAAATAATAGAGTGGTGGATTTTCTGAGATTGATATCCTCTACAAGATTAAATTCGCAATGTTTATTTCAATTCACATCTGTGTCCACTTGGTCTTTCTATTTGTATGCACATGCATGTGTTTGTAATCTGTTATCTTTTTAACTTTTTAGTTCTGAATAAATGAACCGCTAAGGTATGGGTTCTCCCTTGGATCTTTAAGAGTTGAATCTTGAAATCAAGATAACACTTGGATACATTTCATTATTGCATTGGATGTAATGCCTGATCCAATTGAAGTGAATCCCTAAAAACTCGCTTTTCATTTTATTAATTAATGCAGCTCAATCATAAAATTTGCTGAGCAATGCCTAAATCCAGATATGAGAGCATCGGCTTTTAGTCCCCGGCTTATGGAGGTAATGCATTTTATTTTATTCATTTATCTTGCATATGCTTCTACGTCCCCAGTTTTCTTTTTATGTCTTCGTTAGACATAAAACCTGGATGTTTTGCTTTTGTTGTCTTCTGGTCTTTTTTTAGCAGCAGATGAAGTCCCTGAGAAACGGATACATATGATAGTCTATAAGTTTTTGCATGTACAGAACATTATTATACTATACCCATGATCTACTGCACCATTTTTTCTATAAGAACTATTTTTCTTTTTTTTAAACAACTTGCAATTTTTTTAAACTACAAAGAAACTAATCTTGGTTGTGTAAGGTGGTCTAGCATATATACCATTTCTGACAAGGCATTGTTTTACCTTCTCACTCTTTTAAGTTTATGTTCTATGCAGTCAATTGTATGGTTCCTTGCAAGGTGGTCTAGCACATATCTAATGTCTTCTGATGGGATTGGAGAGAAAATATTAGATTCAGGTCATCATTATGAACATAGTTCGAAAAAGGTGTTACTTAGTTTCTTTGGAGAGCATAACCAAGGGAGAATTGTTCTTGATATTATTGTCCGTATATCTTTGATCACACTTACATCATATCCAGGGGAAAAGGATTTGCAGGTTTGTGTTTTAAACTCCTATTATTTTTCCATATTTTAGATGTTCTCGTTTAAATCAAGCATTTGACATAGTTGTTACCTAGTTTCCATCTGTATTTACTAATGTAAATACACATTCAAGGAGAGTTAAGGAGTGTAGTGATAAGGGTGGTCTCGGATTTGATCCCACCTCCAGCATAAACTAACAAATTTAACATTTAACCTACTAACATTGAAAAAAAGCACACTCAAATTAGATGTTCACAGCTACAGTCTATACATGCTTATGTATTTGAAATTGTCAATATGAAATATATTTTGTACATATATTATAGGTGCTGTGAAAATTGATGATCAATCTGATTCTACACTAGAGATCTATTTGTAGATTATCAAATTCTAATGCTCGTGCAAGATTTCCATGATCAAAAAAAGAAAATATCATGTATGTTTTTCCATCCAAAATTTCGTATTGGTCAATGTAATTTATATTAACATCACAGTTCATGGAAATTTGGAGGACTGAAGGGATGTTTAGAAAAATAAGCTAGAACATTTTTAGGAATAAAAAAAATCTTAAAACAGGACTACTGAGTACTGGTAATGATAATTCTAGGTTTGGATCAATTAACCTGACAATCCTTTAATATATTCACCATAAATAGTTTTTTATATCAAAACGAAAAACTTATTCATAAATTAATGAGACTGACCACATGTTCAGTTAGGTATTTCTAATTTGGAAATGTTGCTGTGGGAAGTACAGGAATAAATAGAAAACCACCTGATTACCTAGTTGTTCTTAACGTAATGTTTGCTGTGTGGTTGCTATTTATTTTCCAGGGCCTCACATGTTATATGTTACTCCATTCACTGGTTCAGCAAAGGCATATATGTGTTCACCTTGTTGCTCTGGTGAGTTAGTACCTGTACTTTTATTTTGACAAAACATCAAAATCTGCAATTTTATCTTGATGCAAACATAAGAAACTGTATGTTTTAAAATGATATAATTATTTGTTAATGGGTGATACAAGTATAGTAGTAGTTGCTTACTCTTAAGGTTAAAAAGGTGAAGAAGGAACTCTGAAAAATTTGTTGTCTTGTAAAATTACAGGGATTGATTCAAATATATAAGTTCTATCTCTCTCCTAATTAAAGAGTTACAGGGAAAATTGAAACTATATAAGAATAAGTCATAATTAATGGTTTGTTGGTGAGTGCCTTGAGGGAAATGGTGTAAGGGCATTAGATTCACTTTATTAAATGCCTGTAATTTTTCAAAAAACAAATTTTACTAAATGCTCAAAAAATCAAATAGTATTTGCATTTCCCAATTTCAATATAAAAAAAGGCTTCTTTTCATTGCATACTTTCTGCTTTTGTTTCTGTAACAAAGTGATTTAGTTTAGGACACTTCACTTGCCTAAAAATAATGGTTTTTGTTCCATTACTTATGTCTCCAAGACCTTTGTACTATATTACAGTCAGTAACCTTTCATTTTTTATGCTTGTGATTGCTTAAACAACAGTAATATTTTTGTAGCATCACTGTCTTGAATTTCTGTTTTCTTATGCAGAATTCATGGCATGAACTTGCAACTGCATTTTCCACTGAAAAGACTTTGTTCTTGTTGGACACTTCGCATCAGGTAAGAACAGATCAACTTCTACTACCGGGTACTTTGTTGCTGTCTGCTGTTGCCTAAATGTCATTCATTTTATTTTTGCTTCAGCGGTCTCTTGCACAAACACTTGTTCGTTCAGCTTCAGGTGTGAAAAATTCTGAAGAGTCAAGTCAGTGAGTATTCACCTCAGCTTTCTTTGTCTATTGTTTAAAAAATTTCATGACACCCTGTAAAATTTTGTCTATCTGTATATAAGGATGACACCCTGTAAAATTTTGTCTATCTGTATACAAGGTATGTAAGGAATCTCATGGGTCATATCGCAACATACATAGTGGAGATGTCCAGTAAGAGTAATCTTAAAAACATTGCCCAACAACCAGATATCCTTCTGTTGGTCAGCTGCATGTTAGAACGGCTACGCGGAGCTGCGAGTGCTTCTGAACCTCGAACACAGAAAGCTCTATATGAGCTAGGATTCTCTGTAATGAATCCCATACTAGTTTTACTTGAAGTATATAAACACGAGGTAGCATTCACATTCTTTTGTATTAATTTGTTTAATGTATCCTCGATGCTCTTGGGACACATGTGTGATTTCCAGGACTATCTTATACTTTCGGTGAACATATTCATATTATCCTTAAAATATGTCCCTTTACTAGATTACTTATAATTTATATTCCTCTCCATTTTATCTTCTTTTTCAGTTTGACACATGTCTAAACTTGCTATTCTGTAATTGAATGTTATTATTGCTTAGTCTGCAGTTGTGTACCTGCTACTAAAATTTGTAGTCGATTGGGTTGATGGACAAATTACTTACTTGGAGGCCCAAGAAACTGCTGCCGTTGTCAGTTTTTGCACGCGTTTGCTTCAGCTGTATTCATCTCACAATATTGGCAAGGTAAATTTCTTTTATCAGTTATGATGTTTTATATGGGCAAATACTTCATCCCTGGAGCAACATTATGAAGCACGGACACCTCTAGGAGTAGGCGTGTCGCGATGTTCGATACTTATATGACACTCGTACAACACATGTTGGAAAAGTCAAACAAGTGTCAGAAAAGTCAGACAAGTGTCCCTCCAAAAATTTGTTTTTTTTTCTTTGCTTCAACACACCTTATACATTTCTTGAACAAATGTCACACGTCTAAAACGATTGAAGTAATATTATCAATGAAAAATTAAAATTATTAATTCTGATTAGAATATTTTTAACTCTTTAAATAATAGATGGATAAATGACACTCAAATACTATCATATATTTAGCAGCGTTGGTATCCTATATATTTGACATTATCGGTGTTGTAGTGTTCGTGTCTCGGTGTCCGTGCCGGAGTCCGTGCTTCATATTTGTGACTAGTTGAAGATATACTCGTTTGAATGTTGCTCTGAATGGCAATCTTGCCTGAAATGGCTGAAACTTTCTTTATGGTGCTTGAAAGGTTGCAGAGACTTATTTTTCGCTTCCATGTTTTAAATTGTTTGGGCACATTCTGTTGCTATCATAAAATTGATTTAAATAAAATAATACCTGTATGAAAGGGTTTTCAACTGTCTCTTTTAAAAGGAATCTTATTTTATTTAGAGATTTTTATTGTCTGGGGGAACGGGAAATAAGGATATCTAAGTTGTATCCTCAAGCTTAGGGGTGGACAACGGTCGGTCACAGACGGTTCTGGGTAAAAAATTGTCCATCGTTCAAGACTGATGGATGAAATATATTAATCCATTTCCGTCCGTTTAACATATCGGTTTTGGCGGATGGCGGTTTACTCGGATAACAGGTTTGATGGGTGGTTTCACGCGGGTATCATCACTGAAACAGATAGTGAAAATATCAAAACCAAAAACTAAAAAACACAACCAAAAGAGAAGAAGTCATACATAAAATGAGAAGCAATAAAAAATTAACTAAAATCAAACAACACAATAATTTTTTTTAACATTTGTTAAATACTACTTTTCCTTTTGAAGCAACATCTAGAATGCTTAAAATATAGAATAATATAGAATAGCAACGTGTGTTTCTTCTTGTAGTAACATAGTTGCAGTAAACTTGAACATAAAGATGTTAATGGGGTCATAAAAATGGTGTGGTGGAAAAGAGCTCTCAAAGAGATTGGTGTTTGGGTGTAAAATGTTGTGTGGTGTTTTAAGAACATCAGATTAAAAATGGTGTTTGGGTGTAAAATGCTGTGTGGTGTCTTGAGAGATAAAGGAGAGAGGAAAACAATTAAGAGAGAGAGAGAGAGAAAGAAGTAAATGAAAATAGTGTTTAGTAATGAAAAAAAACAATTAAGAAGGAACACGTGAATATACAATGGTTTTGGTTTTCGAAAGGAAAAATAATTTGTAAAGTAAACCCATACCTACTTATCAGACTAGTATTCAGACTAATATTAGGATTTGAATAATTTGGTCTAGCCTACTCATACCTACCGCACTATTAAGAATTGAGAATTGAAGAATATGACTGTTTCGGTCGGATATGGACTTCACTGAATCAATTTTTTTCATCCGAGGCCGACCATTGTAATCCACTAGAATTCGAATTTTTCACTTTTTAAATCCGACACCCATTTATATCCGCCCGTCCCAACAAATTTTGGATCGGATAGAGCCGATCTCGGATTCTTGTCCACCCCTACTCAAGCTACCTCTTCAACTTGGAATCTAATCCCTCGTAAAAATTTCAAATTGTACTAATGAAGTTTCAATCTTGTTGAACCATTAAACTAATCTTGAGAAATTAGATCGACAAGAAAGACATTCTTTAGAATGAGGCATATATACTATGAGTTAGTGTTGAAGTTGATATTTGTGTTCAAGTTTGTTTGAAGTCCCACATTGTTTAGGTTCTTGGGCTGTTGATGGTATAAATATGTGAGGACAACCCTCACCTTTGAGTTAGCTTTTTGGGTTGAGATCCAAGCATATTTAACAGATACAAAGAACCATGTTTATTTTGAGTCCTTTATTTTTGCTTTTGCTTTCATTTTAATCCGTATAATCCTACCATATAATTATTTTGATTAAAATATGTGAAGTCAACATGATATTGGTATCAGTATTACTAAAAAAAAACAGTCATTGCTAATTTGCCTTATCTTTTTCTTTATTTTAAACAAAGATCCATCAAATCCCTTTTCACTCTCTTTTCAGATATCACTAAGTCTTTCAAGCAACTTACTTAGTGAGGCACAAACAGACAAGTATAAAGATTTGCGTGCTCTTCTTCAACTTCTTTCAAGTCTTTGTTCTAAAGACATGGTAAGGGTTTTTTTCCTTTTGTAAATTTCAGATTGGCAATTGGAAAGAAATCTACCTGTACCTCATACTTTTTAATATTAGAGCAATTTAACTGAAAAATAACTGATTTGGCAGATTGATTTCTCGTCAGATTCAATTGAGGCCCAAGGCACTAACATATCTCAGGTGGTATCATTATTACATTTCTCTGTTTCATGGAAACTTGGATAATGAATCTCTATAGCATTGATTTTGCAGGTGGTTTACTTTGGTCTTCACATAGTCACGCCGCTGATTTCTATGGACCTTTTGAAATATCCCAAACTTTGCCATGATGTAAGAAAATGATTTACAATGTAGATATGATACTGAATTCGTTTTCCAAGAGCTGATACAATATTATTTATGTGCAGTATTTTTCTCTCTTGTCACATTTGTTGGAGGTTTATCCAGAAACATTCGCACAACTAAATAGTGAAGCCTTTACTCATATACTCGGAACTCTTGATTTTGGTCTACACCATCAGGTTGTAATATACTTGTAGATGTGGCTTTTATTCTTTAATAAACGATATCGTTTGATGATGGGTTTAAATATGGAATTTTTTAGTCCCTACATAGAACAAAAATATTTTTCAATCCTTAAAAGCAATTCTTGGTGAGGACTAAAGACAATATTTTTTGACAAGTTTAGACTAAAATAAAAAAAATTCAAATCGCGATTAATTTCAAAAAGTATTATATTTTCAAAGACTCAAAGCATATTTATGTCTATGTAGACAGTAAGAGTTTACAAAGATTGATATTGAGAAAGTTCTAAGCTGAGAGAATTTTTCACTAATTAAGCTTTCTCTTCGAATGCCCTTAATAAATTTCTTCTTTATGAGTTAGAAAAAGGAGAAAACTTCTTCACTATATACTACACTTCTCAAATCTAAATAATTATTTCCTTATTGATTTTTGTAGGATGTAGATGTGGTTAGTAAGTGTCTGAGAGCTCTGCAAGCTCTTGCTTCTTACCACTACAAAGAGACTGGTAATGGTAATATAGGCTTGGGGGCACATTCAAGTGGGGAGACTCAGGAAGGTCTTTTGAGCCGTTTTCTCCGTTCATTGCTGCAGTTACTCTTTTTTGAGGATTACAGGTGAGGATGCAAAATGAGTTTCGTTTTCTTTCTGTATTCTTTCTTTTACCCAGCCCTGTCATTGTTTTGGTCTGCCAATGGTGTTATCTCTGTTTAGGGTTATAATTTAGTTGATGTGACTTGATACCTTTTGCTATAGAAAGAGCTTATACATAAGCGTTTATCATGACAAGCGCTTGTGCTAAAAGCCTCAAATAAACTGTTTATCTAAACACGGCCTTAAGGGCTTGGGAGTTTGGGGCTTATTTGACAGCTCTATTTCTTATCATTACTTTATATGAATTTATAATATATGCCAGATGATTTAGAGTTGCAAACTGGTTCAAGTGCCTTTTTTTCTAGTTTAAATCTCTAAGTAGGCTATATATTATGTTGTAAAAAATGCTACTGGAAATCCACATTCTAACTAATAACATTGCCTTGTTATAGTTCTGATCTAATCAGCGTTGCAGCAGATGCTCTCTTTCCACTAATCCTTTGTGAAAAAGGCCTGTATCAGGTATGTTGCTTTAACTTGCATTTGGTAAAACTTCCAAACCGCAAATAAATTTTTAATCCATGTAATATACACCTTTTCCGGTATCCCTTACAAAAATTATTGTCACATCTGACCTGAGTCAAATTAAAATACAAGGGGATTAACTCAATAACATATATTGGATGAACTTAAATACTGTTTTAGAATTCGGGCTAGACTAAACTCATTTTATAGTTAGTTTAAGAGGTAAGGACCACCCAAACCTTCCCAGGGGACTACTTAGGTCATATCTCTAATCGAAGTGGGACCTCAACACATCCTCTCAAGCTTAGAACGGGACATTTCGGACATGAACTAGAACAAGTGGCCCAATCAACAAACTCATCACACCTAGGACTACACGTTTGAAGTATGTGGACAAATTTGGATGGCCCAATAACAAATCTACAACATGCTTCGACACTATTCGAAAATTTGAATTGTGTCACAGGTGAGCTCAAGAGGTGATGATTGTCCAAGCCAAGGCTTATAAGGAATACTTTGACCATATCACGAGTCGATGGTAGATCTTAATCATCAACACAAAATAAGGATTAACTTTAATATGTACAAAATATTTTAGTAACTAAACCAAAATGAGAACTGTTTAAACTGGCAACATTTTTTCTAGAATCTGAAACCGAAGTTGATGTATATTATACGGGGACTAAAAAGTTATTTAAGCCAAAATCAAAATTCAATGCTAAATATGCAAGTTACTTTTCGTATTAGGTTTTTCTTCTAGTTGTTTTTGCTCAATTTCAATCTAAATCCCTTTCTTTGTTATGTAGTTTGTAAATAATAACTATGCACTAGTCTAACACGTACCAAAATCCTCCTACTATGATTTTGACTCCATATATTGAATGATGAATGATTCCAGAGGTCTTTTTTTCTTTTCAGAGATTGGGAAATGAATTGATAGAGAGACAAGCAGATCCAAATCTCAGATCAAGGCTGGTAAACGCGTTGCAGTCACTAACTAGTGCAAATCAGCTTTCCTTCTCCCTTGATCGAATAAATTACCAGAGATTTAGGAAAAATCTGAATAGCTTCCTTGTTGAAGTTCGTGGATTTTTAAAGACTGTGTGAATAATTATGTGACATATATTGTATAAAAGCTTCAAAAGAAGAGCTGACTTCACTCGATGAACCAGCCGCTGGAGAAGAAATAGAGGCAGAAAGTGTTTTTGAAGTTGCATAGAACACTCAAGTCCTATCTAATGCTACAATGGGTCTTCTATCTTGGATTGACTGATCACCCAGGTTGTATGCAAAAGCTTTTCATCGGTTAGTCATAGACTTGAGAAAAGCATAAAACGTATCTGAAGATCCGAGTAGCAGTTTAGTGACCAAGTGGTTTTCAAGTGAAATTATTTTCTTGAAACTGCATTTTGGGGAGATGTATATTTTCCTCAGTCTGAAACGAGTGTATGTTTTTCCACACTCCTTCATATTTATGCTCTATTGCACAAGCAAACAATATGTTCAGATCTGTTATATAGAGATATTTGAACCATTTCTAAGCTTGTGCAAACTTAAGGTTATTGGAAATTTGATTCTTGACAATATCGAAATGCTAAATGAGTTATTTATTCCATTTTTCCAATCTCGGTTGTAATAATCATATATGCCTGCATCTTATTATTTGGTTCTCCCCCTCTTATTATGTTAAAAAGCTCTTTACACATCAATGTGTACAGCAGTTTGACACTCAAACGTATGAATCAAGATCCTTTCATATACGTGTAGTTCTTTGTGTTGAAACAGAACACTGATATAAAATTTGGAGAGTAATCGCTTATTGAATTGAAAGCAAACTGTTGGCTATATAGCCTTACAAATTGAAAACTGAAACACAGTTGCAACAGTCCACGTTTTACTGCCTAGAACGTGGAATGAGTCACTGAGAGAAAGATTCTAATTCCTATTCAAGTGCTGCCACTTCCCTAAAGAATAGGACATTACTTAACAGACTGTCAAACATAAAACAAATAAATATTAAAGAATAAATATTGTAAATCTAACATTCCCTCCCTTAAACTATATGTAACAAGCATTTAGTTTACCGCTGAAGCTTCAACCATTCCCATCATATTTCGAAGTTTTAGAAATTGTGCTAATTTGAGAGGTTTTGTCATGATATCTGCAACTTGTTCTTGAGATTTACAGTAGCTCAACTCCACAACATTATCCCTTGTCAAATCTCTAAGGAAATGAAACCTTATGTCAATGTGTTTACTTCTACCATGAAAAACTGGATTCTTTGACAGCTTTATAGTAGAGTTATTGTCACACTGAATTAGAGTACTCTTCTCCTCTTTGTGACCAAGTTTCTCTAACACCTTTCTCATCCAAACACACTGACAAGCACAAGATGCAGCGGCTATGTACTCAGGCTCTGTAGTCGACAGTGTCACAACAAGCTGTTTTTTAGAAGACCACGAAACTGCTCTCGAACCAAGTAAAAAAATAGAGCCCGAAGTACTTCTTCGATCATCTAAATCACCAGCAAAATCACTATCAGCATAAGTCAACAAATTTGTGCAACCTTCCTTCTTGTAGAAAATTCCAAGCTCAGTGGTACCTTTTAAATACCTTAGTATTCTTTTTGCTGCAAGCCAATGAGATTCAGTTGGACAAGACATGAATCTACTAATAAGACTCACCCCATACGTCAAATCAGGTCGTGTAGCAGTCAAGTACATTAGACTGCCAACAACTTGTTTGAACAAAGTTTCATCAAATTTGGTTCCAGCTTCATCTTTTGACAACTTTGTGCCTGGAACTATAGGATTCTTTACTGAATTACTCTCTTCCATTCCAAACCTTGATAAAATTTCACGAGCATACTTTCTTTGACAAATAAAAATTCCACGAGAACTCTGCAGCACTTCAATACCAAGAAAGCATCTCATCTTCCCCAAATCCGACATGTCAAATTCCAACATCATCGAATTCTTAAATTCTTCACACATACTTTTATCATTTCCGGTATATATTAAATCATCAACATAAAGGCTTACTATTAAAATTTTACCTCTGTCTTTTGACTTTGTGAACAAAGTGTGTTCACAAAAACACCTTTCAAAGCCTTCTCGAACAAAGAAAGCCTCTATCTTGCTATATCATGCTCTTGGTGCTTGCTTCAAGCCATACAACGCCTTTCTTAACTTGTAGACTTTGCTTCTTCACCTTTCTTCTCATATCCCAGCGGTTGTTGCACAAACACTTCTTCATTTAGTTCACCGTGAAGGAACGCACTCTTTACGTCAAGCTGAAGAACATTCCAACTATTTTGAGCTGCTAAAGCAAGTATCAACCGAATAGTGTCAAGTCTGGCCACCGGAGCAAAAACTTCAGTATAATCAACTCCGTATTGCTGTGCATATCCCTTTGCCACTAGCCTTGCTTTGTATTTATCTATTTCACCGTTCTCGTTAAGTTTAGTCTTGAAAACCCATTTAACTCCAATGAAATTTACTCCTTGGGGCAGAACTGTTAGTTCCCATGTCTTGTTCTTTTCTATTGACTCAATCTCTGCCGTCATTGCGTCCCTCCACTTCTTGCTCTTGACAGCCTCTTCAAATGAAAGTGGGTCATTTTCAGTGAGCATTATCATTGCATTCAAACCATCTTCATCTGAAAAACCTTCACCAGTTTCATAATCTTCCATCCAAAACGGTGGTTTTCTTACCCTCCCTTCATTAGTAATTAGTGGTTCCTCCTCATGTGATTCACTAGATGTTGAACTAGATTCACTTGAGTTTCTTGTATTAGTAACAGCGCCACCGTCTTCGACTTCATTGCTCTCTACTCGTTCAATGTCATTCTCAAAATCATCTTTGCACTCTAAGGCATCCAGCTTGCATTCATCTTTGCTTTTGTCCCAATTCCAGCATTCATTTTCCTCAAAAATCACATCCTTGCTAATGATTATCTTCTTTGAAGTTGGATCATATAATTTATAGGCCTTTGATTCATCACTTACTCCCAACAAAACACATTTCTTACTCTTGTCATCTAGTTTACTTCTTTTTTGGTCTGGAACGTGTGCATGAGCTACACACCCAAACACTCGAAAGTAGCCAATTGTTGACTTCACACCACTCCATGCCTCTTCTGGAGTTTTGTTTTGCACTGCCACAGTAGGACATCTATTGAGGATATGCACACTCCATTTTACAGCTTCCGGCCAAAACATTTTAGGAACCTGTTTCTCGGCTAACATAGAGCGCACCATGTTCATGATTGTCCTGTTTTTTCTCTCAGCAACTCTGTTTTGTTGTGGAGTATAGGCTGCTGTCAGTTGTCGGGATATGCCTTGAACTTTGCAAAATTCTTCAAACTCATTTAAGGTAAATTCACCGCCTCTATCTGTCCTTAGAGAGGTGATATATTCACCAGACTCCTTTTCAACACAAGCTTTAAAATTCCTAAACATAGCAAAAGCCTCAGATTTTTCATGTAAGAAGTAAATCCAAGTTTTACGAGTGAAATCATCGATACAACTTAGAATGTACCTCTTGTTGCTATTTGAATTTGGTTTAATGGGTCCACATATGTCTGCATGCACGAGTTGCAGCTTGTTTGATGCTCTCCATAAACTCTTTTTGGGCATAGAGTCTCTATGTTGCTTGCCGGTTAAACACTCTGTGCACAACCTTTTTGGAATCTTGAGTGAAGGCAACCCATTAACCATCTTCTTATAAAAAAGTGTCCTAAGTCCCTTGTAGCTCAAGTGACCATACCGACAATGCCAAAGGTAAGATTCATTTTCTGACTCAGTTTTGAAACACATAGACTCCTTTGGTATCATACCAACTAGCAAGAAGAACATTCTATTTCCACTCATATTTGTCTGCATAATTAACCCTTTTGTAGGGTGATATACCCTACACTTCCCATTTTGAATCAGAATAGCTAAGCCTTTTTCTTGAAGCTGCCTTATGCTCAATAAGTTATTTTTCAACTCAGGAATGTAGTAAACATCAGAAATTACCTGAGTAACTCCATTAACTTGCATGTGAACACTTCCTTTTCCCATAACCGCCATTCTAGTGTCATTGCTGAGTCTTACAGATTGTCTGAAGCTTTCATCCAAGTTTGTGAACCACTCCTTGATTCCACTCATATGATTGCTACATCCGGAGTCGAGAAACCACACCTCTTCCTTTTTGGTATGTTTGAGTTCAACATAGGACATTAATAAAAGCTCCTCTTCTTCTTCCCCTTCCAATTCAGCATAGTTGGCCCTTCTCTCCCAGTCTGGACACTCATATTGATAGTGTCCTAAACCGTGACATCTAAAACACTCAATGACAACTTTGTTGATGGGTTGTCTTCCCCTTCCTATACCTCGACCACCTCTAAATACACCTCTACCTCCTCCTCTTCTTGCTCTATCTTCATGTGATATTTTTAGAACTTGCTCTTCTTCTCCATGGCTTCTCATCCTTTGCTCGTGAACGAGAAGACTGCTCTGCAACTCGTCAATTGTCATCGTGTCTAGGTTGTTGGATTCTTCAATTGAGCATACCACATAATCAAATTTTGAGATCATTGATCTCAAATTTTTTCCAGTAATGATTGTTTCAGTCATACTTTCACCAAGAGCTTTCATTTTGTTAGCAATGGTTAGAGTATGAGAGAAATAAGCATTCACTGTTTCCCCTTCTTTCATGTGAAGAATCTCAAAATCCCTTCGTAAAGCTTGTAATTGGGCCCTTTTAACCCGAGTTGAGCCCTGGAATTTTTGCTTCATTGAATCCCATATACCCTTAGACGTGTCTTTGTTAAGGATTGTTTCAAGCACATCACGTGGGATTGCTTGAAAGAGGTAATTTTTTTCCTTCAAATCCTTCAGTTTCTGCTCTTCAATCAATTTACTTTGTGTCTCTGTCGGTTGTACTCCACCTGCCACGACCAATATTCCATTCTCAATGAGACCCCAATAATCTTTAGATCGGAGAAAATTTTCCATCAATATCGCCCAATGATCATAGTGACCATCAAACATGGGAACCGTCGGCTGCATGAAGCTACTGCTACCATTTTCTGTCATTCTTCTACTTGGAAGAAAATGGGAGTTT